TATAATAAAATATTGTTGTGTAGCTGGTCTGTAAACCTAAATAATAACTCAGATTTGTTATGAGATTTTTTCTTAAATTCTCCATACTTTTCATACATCAAAATATACACCTAGCTTCTATGTGTTTAATTTCAAAACAAGGTTACTTTGACATTTTAACCAGAGCCTAATCACTTTAAATATATATATTTCATTATAATTAAGTATATTTTCCACATGCCCACCACTAGCACAACTTTTAAAAATATGATTCACGTATAAATATATGAGTATAAACCCTGTTTTCTCATTACATAATGACATACATGGAAAGGAAATGGGGAAGAGAGGGTACTGTCTGCACTAAGACACAAAAAATCTGTATGAATGTGTAAGGAGTTATGGTAGGCCAAAACTGTTAATGAAATAAAGGAATTCAATTTCAAAATTCAAAAGAAGGTGAACTGCATGCACATGGAATATTTACAACTTATCAGGATATGTGTCACCTTCTGCTACTGTGAACTAAGTCTACCCTTGGAACAGTAACATCACACGTAATACCACATATGTTTGGATATGTACAATATTCATGCTTATTTTCAATGTTATGATAAAGTTAGGAAATTTCTATAGAAAAGGTAACATAAAAATGTCCTACATATGTTGACATCACTCAGCAAGAACCAAAATGATGCTTTCTTCTTGCAGAAACTGAATTCCAAACATTCATTACAAATTACAGATGGCAAGGCTGGCAAATCACTAATCAACCTAGTCTCTACCCATTCTTAAACCAATATAACATTTTATTATTGCCTGCTTACTGCAAACTGTCATGAAAGGTACACTGTTTTCAAGCCATTTGTTTTCTTGCTTAATGTTTCGACAAGGACATTCATGTTACTGACCATATCTTTTTCTGATATCCATATAATCTGACTTGAGTGGCAACAATGAAATAACATACTTTCACTTTGATTATGATCACTCCACTAGACTACCTTTGGCATTAAAACTACCTATTATATCATACACATGAAATAAACTGTTTATACTTCACTAATTCCACAGAAACCAAGTCAAATTCTGTGGTACAAATGACTAAAATAGATTAACACATACAACTGGTTATGAAGTGGATAATAAGTGTTAAAATCCTGTTCTCTACGTGTTTTTCCAACACCATGACAAAACAGCTTTGGATCTCACTCAATACTACACACTTACTACCAAAGGCTTATTCCAGCAATGAAGTAGAATGAGTGCGACAGCACCCACATATTTCAACCCACTGCAAAGACCTAGAATGTATGGCATGTTCCATATACAGTGAAACCTCTATCCATCGTTCCCGGAACTATCGTTTTCCCGGATGCATCGTCCGTTTTGTTCGGTCCCGAATACATCCCATATAAAATAATGTTACATTTTCCCGCTTCTATCGTTCCTCGAACTATCGTTTTATCGCATCGATCGTTCAAAAATCGTAGTCCCGGCCCACAATTTTCCCGCAATGATCGTTCCTGAGAATTTAAAATGCTGGGTTTAGAGATAAATTAATACCGAAAGACGCACAATGTTTTTGGAATAAACAGTAGCGGTAACCTGTTATGTCGCCCAACCAGCACATTCTTTTGGAATGAGGGTCAGCGGTGCAGGGGTGATAGTTGGAGTGAATGGCGGTGCCCATTGTCAGAAATTTTACGATTTTAATTAGGGTGCACTCATATTTCGTTCCAGCGATGCCAGATGGCATGTGCAGTGTGAATTTCTTCACAAATGCTTTTATTACAAGGACAAAGGAAAGGC